ACATGACTCGTCTTACACTTTATCAGCCAACCAACAGAACATGCACATACCACTGGACGGGTTGAAAAAGATATATTTTTCATGTTTTTTTGGTTTATAAAACAATCATGACAGACATAAATAATCGCAGGAAAGTTGTTGTACAGTTTGCTAAAGCTTAAATGTACTTTTGAGTTTCAAATAAATCTATCCACTTGGCCAAACAATATTAAAAGTACGATGAAATCATGGTGAGTTGAACAGCAAGTGTGTATGAAAATTTTATATTGCATCCTTTTCATTTCACCCAGCTAATGTACTAAGAAGTATAAGGAAGTTGTTGGTTTTCCATAAATCTTATCTCGGCATACACAAAATAGTCAAACATTCGTAATAATAATCTTACTGTTCGTAGATTTGACTCTATCAGAGTTAAACAATCGACAATGTAATACCTCAATTTGCGATAATATTCTTGGGAATCTATCACCAAAGTGATTCAGATTCTTTAAGTAATTAATTAACTGAATTATTTCCTTTAAAATCCATACTTTTCAATTTCGTCCCTCTCAACCTTTCCTTTTTCTGCGTAAAATTATGTATCATATCGATTTCCGTCATTGATTCACAGTTTTATTTATTTTCCGTTCAGTCTATAAACTGATAGTTGTAGTGTGATATTGAAAAGCTCAGATGTTTTTGTTAAGAAATTCTTTAAATTTATTTTTTATGTTTACTGATAAACATTATAATATTAATAAAATACATTATGAGCCGATATTCATTAAACTACCACCGAAATTCGAGAAACACAAAATGTACACACTGATGAGAAGTTTCATACTAAGGCAAAACACTTATACAATGCTTTCTAGTTTTCAATAAGGGTCCAACGAAGGTTAGTACATGATATGTGATCTATGAACATCACACATTCTCCATATATTCCGCTGAGAAATATACTATTTAAATGGAAATCATTGTCATCACCATGTGATAGATTGATTTGTTCTGTCAAATGAATTTCGCTATATGAATGAATGAAATTCATTCAAATAAAATAAAGCTTATTGGTAAACACCAATGATAACTAGGTAAGGTGTCAGCAGGATGTAGATTAGGTTAAAATATGTGCCGTGCAGGATTATTTTGGGGCATATTAATTGGCTATTTCTTATCCCATCAACGCCAGTAGATACTTGAAGACTCGAGAATCTTATATAAAAATTTTAAATATGCTAACATTTCTCTTATCGTGATTCCTATTTCAATCCAACGTTTTTATCTGGGGTGCAATTACGTTCCTGTTCAACCGTGTTCTGATTTGGAAAACTTCGAGTGAAGTAGTGTCCAAGACTACTAAGCAATAAGAGTAACTCGGTCGTAATAAGAGAAATGATATCATAAGGATAGCTCTGGTTTTCTAAATATTTGTTATGACACAGTTCATTTTTTTCAAAGAACAACCTTAGTGATATTTTACTAACAAAACATTTATTTAATAACATTCAGTGTTAACTGATTAACTGTTTTCAATTCTAGTTTGCTAATAATGTTATATGGCCTACGGTCACTGTATGTTACCGCCTAAACGGAGTTGTTCCTATTCAGTTTCTGACTTCTGTTCGGAATATAAAGTTATCCTGAAAGTCTCACCTTCTCTATGTCGCATTACCATGTGAAATATTGATGTGGTTAGTGTTTCCAGTTTATTCGACCTTTTATTTATAGCGTCGTATTAGAAGAATCGTAGATGTGTACCTCATAATAAAGAACGAACGGGTATCTTGTCAAAATTTGAATGTATCAAAGTCTCTTTTATAAATATTAGATTTTACTGCATTGTCTGGGAACGCTAATAGACGTAATCGTCGTAACATGATTTAACCTCACTGTACTTTATTGAATTCATTGTTTGTGAAGTTTTACGCTTTCGATTTTCAGAGAGTTCCTTAATTAATTGCCCCCAATCGCCCTGGTACGGCCGAGAGTGGGAGAGTCCTCTCTCCCTCTCGAAGTGCTCTGTTATGGCCACGCGTATATAGACTCTGCTGGGTAAGTCCTACCCACTTCCTTCTCGTGGCGGGGGTGTTGTTTACGAAATTGAGAGGACGAAAAGCGAATGTCCGGTGCTTTAACAGAGTTGGTGGACACTAAGGATCCAGTTAGAGGAGTTGGAAGTCCCTGACTCCAAACCAATAGTGCACATGGGCTCGAGTATCCTGAGGGAACAAATGGCGTATGAACCAACTGTCGGTCACCGGCTACCATGGGGTTGAATCTCCTCACGATGCTCCACTGCCTTGTGGATCAGACCTTTAGGTCGAAGGCTCCGAGTGTGGCGCCCTAGGAATACCACCTGCTTCAGTTTGAGCACCCGGGCAGTATCACAGCCCTCACACAAATCAAATGAGATTTGTGTGGCGCATATGTATTTGGTGCCTCCTTGTACCAATATCTATGTGTTCAAATAATAATAGTAATAATAATAATAATAATAATAATAATAATCATAGTTATTATAATAATAATAAGGTTACTTAATTGCGAACATTTTTAAAGAATCAATGAACAATCTGCGACAAGTATGAGTTTTTTTAAATAAAATATACTTATGTTCTCATAACTTAAATGATCATTTAAAGATCTGCATCTGAAACAGCGTAATCATCCATTAGTAATTACAAACGATTAACGGAATACCTTTGACGTCTCGTTTATTTTAATTAACATCTTTCAGTACTGTATATCTGTAAATTTATAGACGACTTCGGAGATGTTTATCACTTTTTGCTACAACTAATTAACTTCATCTTCATGTAGCTTTTTATTTAACAATTTTATTTTATCTTTTCCCAATTGATGATCGAATTGTAATAATACACGAAATGACTAGGAAATGGCCTGACATATCGTTTATTATTATGAATCATGGTAAACGTTCACAATAGTTATAGAAATTAAACTTCGGACCTTTTAGTAAGCGCCAAACCAAATAAGTATCCACTCGTTTTTGTTTTTAGCTGTAACCAGTTCACAATTAGTGTTAATCGTATTTTAACATCATCCAAAGACGAGAAACCAAGACCAATGAATATTGACTACTTAGAAAAGAGTTTCAGTAGCAAAACTATGATTGATTATTTTCAATTGTGATGTGATGCATTGTTATATGGCTAATGTGTATCGAAGGAAAGTTAGTCGTGTGTCTAGACGTTAAATTTTTAGATTCTCCAGCACAAATATTTACAAATGATGTATATTATATCCATAAGTCGGTCTATGGAGTTCTTGATTAAAAAATCTGTCTTAGATTTATAGAACCACAACAACAGAATTCCATTCGTGAAGACATGATTTTGCAAGATTGTCAGTATTTAATTGTTTATGGTGTATTATGATTGAAAAATTAAAGAATTACGTCGTTTAGATCCTGGCATACTTTTCTTTCGTTTTACTTGTGGACTTTCATAAATACCGTGATCAAACGATGCTTTGTTGCATCAAAAGCGAATTCCATATGACTGGTCACAACCACTTATTGTCCCAATATATAAGAAAGGGTGAAAATCATCTAGTGACAACCATAGAGGGATTAGTTTGACTAATGCAGCATGTAAAATATTAGCTTCAATAATTATCGATCGCCTAACTAAGACTCGTGAACTGCAAACACGAGAAAATCAGGCTGGCTTCAGACCTGGTCGTGGCTGCATCGACCACATATTCACCATTCGTCAGGTCCTAGAACACAAGCATGCAAGCAGCATTTGACTCTATACCGAGAGGTTCTATGGCAGTGTCTGTCATTAAAAGGCGTACTTCAGAAGTACATAAACCTTGTGAAGGCTCTTTACTCGAACACTACTAGTCAAGTTATAGCATAAGGTGAACTGTCATCTGATTTTGCAACTTCACGTGGTGTCCGTCAAGGCTGTCCACTTTCGCCATTTTTGTTCAACATCATCATAGACATACTGATGGAAATAACGCTCTCATCGACTGAATTTTGGTGCATTGATCTTCCACCAGAAGGTCCACTTATCGACTTGGAATACGCAGATGGTATAGTCCTGTTTGGTGAAGACGCTGATAAAATGCAGTCTTTTGGTAGTACTGAGTAGCAACGCCAGAACGTTTGGGATGCGTTTCCTCCTTTAAATGCAAGTTGTTGCTCCAGGACTGGCCTGTGGCAACACTTGAACTAAGGATAGGAAGTGAAGTAGTCGGACGCGTCGAAAACTGCACTTATCTTGGAAGTCTGTCCGGCCCTAACGGGTTGATATCTGACGAATTCTCGGCACGGATTCAGAATGCTCGTTTGGCTTTCGCCAACTCACATCAATGGCGAGTGCGAGTTATCCACCTATCAATTAAGGGACGAGTATATTGTGCGGCAGTTCGTTCTGTTTTACTTTACGGCTGCGAAACGTGGCTATTAAGAGTAGAAGATACTCGTAAGCTACTAGTATTTGACCAAAGATGTCTTAGAAATATTGCTCGCATCTGCTGTTATCACCGGGTGAGTAATAATGAATTATACACGGGGTATTAAGGAATGATGGTAAATGCGTTGATGAGGTTGTGAAGCTTCATTGACTGAAATGGTGGGGCCACGTATTACGCAGGCCCAACCACCAATTATCATGACGCGCAAAGGTGACCGATGTTGGGGATGGTTTGAAGAAAGTTAGGGCGGCCAGACCGAAACGTGCCATCAGTGCTTGGGGTCACTAACTTCTAGGTTAAGCCATGTTGGTAGATGCAGACTACTAGGTTGGAGTCCGCGTGACTGTCGTAACCAATGGTTAGAGACTCTCAGTGACATGGCTGAGAATCTCTTGCTCATCTCACTAACTTCTTATGTCTGCAATAGTTTTGCTTCTGAAAATAAGGTTTCTTAATTTTTGTTGTTGTAAGATTCATTTCACTTGTTTTCAAGTGATGATTTGTACAATATAGGATTAGTTATTTTATTTCTTTTTTTATGTGATTCCATTTATATTTTATTTGATTATTAGGATATTCCCTTATTTGATGAATATTCCACGCTGAATGATCAATTAACAATTCCTCTTGCAAACGGCACGATAACAGCATTCAGTTCAACAAATCTATTGAAATGTCCAAATTTACTGCAACATTTAAAACTTGTTCATCAAACAATTCGTCGGAAATTCGCTATTAAGAGTATCGAAAATAATTTAGCTAATTATCAGTTACAACTTTCTAATGAATATACAGGACGTTTGAGTGTTCTGAAAGAACTTGGATTTATTGATTCGGCAACACAAAGCTATTGCCTTAGTTTTAAAGGTAAGATATTTGCAATGCCTAAATAATCATGGTTTGGTTGAAGGTTTTTGTAATGATTAGTTTAATTTGTAGATTTTATTTGTCACAGACTAAACTCACTAAAGGTACCATTGAAAACCTGGAAACACTGGACAACTGTTTCGTTTTAATATGCTACGCATCTCCATTGAGTACACACGAACTTGCCAAAGATCAAAACTCAGGGCCTTGAGATTGCTCAGTTAACGTTTCACCATCAGAATCACTGTTTTGGCGTCAGTTGGTACAATTTCTTGTTCAATCCACAATATGGCGCGATGATAATCCGTTATTTATGGTAACAACTGTCACTTCCAACACGTTTGGACTCCACTAATCACGATTTTTTACTAGGACTTCACTGACATCTTGAAGAAGTTTCGTGGAAAATGTTTTGAATTCGTAGGTTCCATTCCTTACGGATTGATCCTAGTTGAGATAGCTATATGATTTTCAGTAGTATCTCAAATGAACTTTACTGTGACGAAAACGAGTCATTCTTGAATAATAGTTTTATCCTAATGATTTTATTTAAATTTTTAACAAATGAGTAAATAAAACTAAAGATAGTCTCTAATTTCTAAAGGTGTAATCTAAGTACTTTTTGTTTTGTCAAAAAATGTACTATTTATTGACAGATGAAACATCAGAGTGCAACCTAGATTTTTGATAAATTTCCTTACACTTAGTTGTTTTTAAGAATAGCACATTGATTTGGCAGAGAGGAAATATTAATATTTACACGTAAGTTTATATTTGCTTTGATTTTTCTACAGGAATTCGGATTAATTTCTGTACACTGAGAAACTTCTGCTGAATTTAATTCATAGATTTCCACAATTTACCAGGCAGTGTATTTCAAAAGAATTATTATGTGAGGACAGTCAACGAGTGAACTCGAGGAAGCCCTAAGAAGCTCAGAGAGAGCCGAGGATACTCCGTTTCTTCTACATTCGAGCTCCCGAGATGAATCCCCGAACGATTGAAACGGAGTCGGCTTTGTGTGATCAAAGTCCTGCCGTCCCGTGGATTTGGTTTATGTGTCTTATACACGTTCCGACATTTCTCCGGACTAGGTACAGTACATTTCCGATCCGACGTTCTATGACACCTGGTCCCTACTTCCTATCATCTTGATACGATTTGACAAATACCGTTTCACCCACCTGGAAGCTACGAGTGACCGTACGATGCTCATTCATGGGTTTATTTGTCTTTTTAGGCGGCAGCATTCTGTTAAGGACTGTCCATATTTTCTTTCCGAACACACATTCGGCTGGCGACATTCCTTCTGTTACTCCCGGATTGGGGTAATTCTGTAAGACATTAGGGACTTACTGATCACCTGTTTTGGGATACCCTCTCTTCCTACTTTGAACAGAGCTTTTTTTATCGTACCCACGAATCTTTCTGCTTGGTTATTCTACTGAGGATGGGACGGAGGAGATTGTAGATGCAATATTGCATTTTCGCCGCAAAAGCGTTTAAAAGCAGATGACATAAACTGAGTACCGTTGTCAGCCACTAAGGTATCTGGAACTCCAAGACAAGCAAACAATCCTGACAATATTCTTATTGTACTCTCTGATATCGTTTTCGGCATGTCATATACTTCTGACCATTTTGTGAAAGCATCGACGACAACCAAGTAATTTCTGCCCTGTATCGGATCGGCGAAATCAGCGCGTATTTTTTGCTAAGGCCCGTCTGGTTTTGGCCGTGGTTGTGGTTCAGCTTTAGTCGGATTCCTTGAGGCCTCTAGACAGGACCAACAACTGCGACATTTTCGTTCTCTATCATGATTGTGGGTATTCAATAGGTTGGTTATTTTAAATACGAATAGAGTTTTGAATTGGACGGAAATTCGGACATACTAATTCCTGTATTTCTGGATACTTTACCAAACAATATGCGATTTTATTTGACAAAGCAAACATATGAGGAATGTACTTTTAGGAGATATTTCAAAACGATTAACATTACCCCCCCCACCGGGTATTTTCGTTATTTTGATTGCTTTTTTCGTACACTATTATTATTAGTTGTTTTGTACTACTAAGATCAATTGTTAATTTAATTGAAATAAAACAAATAAACTCTGATATACCAGAACGAAGATTGAAGGAATAGTAACTATCAGGACCAATTTATCGATAAATATTATATTACAGTGTTATTACGTAATTTTTAAGTAACTATTATGTTTATATACCCATAAACAACTGTCGTATGACTTTCTATTCGTGTTTAGTCTATCACTTACGGTTTCCGCTATCCACTACCACTTTTGGTTTTTTTTATCCATAATTGCTATTTTTCATTTTATTGTGTGGTGCGGCCGAGTGTGTTTATATAAACTACGTCTGTTTGGAATATAAATATAGTAGAAGCTGGTCGATGACTTTTGAACTCGGAGCAGCTATTGAGAGAGATGCTTGCGAATCACGGACCAGTAGGAAACTAGATATCGGCTCAAAATTAGTAGTTTTGGTGAGGCCTATAATTGGGCAAATTAGAGATTTTAGATTACAGAGTAAATAGTAAGCACGAAATAGATCAAATCAGTATTCTGATTAGTGAATTGCCAAGTGATGTTTGTCAGCGGCCAACAAGACACAACAAACTGTTATATCCTTTTTTTGTTTTTCCTAGGTTTTTTTGCATGTGAATTAACAAGTAAGGAAGTTTTATTGACACAACTTTTACTCGACGGTTTTATTGACGATTTATTGGCCCCTGATATTGCAGCTGTTCTCTCAGCGTTTTCCAATGAACTAAGAGCACAAGATCTTACTCCAGAAAAGACAACTAGCTATTATCTTAAAGAATTAATTGTTTCAATAAATTGTTCTTCTACTACTACAACTAATTATACAAGCAATGTTAATCTTCATAAGGATTTAGAATGTATTCCTCGTCATTTACTTTTAGTATTCAAGAACGTTTTCACTCGTGCCTATGAGGTGAGTTAATTGCATATACACATTTTTCAGTTAACTGATAAAATGGTTCAACAATGTTTCAGAATAAGATAAATTGACTGACAACATAACGATATCTCAGTTGAATTCCTATAAACTTATGAAACATAAATATAGTTTACAGTCGGACTCGAATAAATATGAGTTCAAATGTCGTAATATCTTCCATCAGGGAAGTCCGAATGAATGAGAAACTCAAACAAGTTCTCCAAGTTTTGCTGTGGTTGATAAAACTATAGGAAGTCTAAAGCGAGGAAGAGCGGCAGGTTCTTTAATGATAGTGATTCAGTTTAACTAACTGGATTGACTAATATATTAGCTAGTTTCTAAGACCTGGACGTAATCTCATTTGACTAGTTTCGATCACCGATCATCACCGTTTTATGGGAAAGGATAAAATGCCTCTTGTGAGAACATTTGAGAAATCAGTTTGACTAGTATACTGTCTAAAATACTAGCTCTAATAATTATCGGACACTCAATTAAGCCTCATGCATCTTCAAACAAAGGGCGAGCTTACTGCACAGCACAATACTCTGTTCTATTTTATTGCTGTGACATATGGCTTTTGAGAATAGAAGATATGAGTAGTATAGTACATTAATACTCGACCATGAGTGTCTTAGAATCATTGCTCGTGTACGATGTGATCACCGAGTGAAAATTTGAGTTTAGACGCAGAGTACTGGATAGTAATGGCAAACCGTTTGACGAGGCAGTACATCTTCATCGGCGGTTGAGGTATGTATTTTGTATGCTTAACCACTTTCTACCTCGATATGCGATGTTGATTGGTGTCGGAGTAGTTTGAAAGAAGTCTAGAAAGACTAGACCATAATGTGACGTCAGTTCATGAAACCATTGAACTGAGTCATTTAGGTAAATACAAATTACTTGATTGGCATAAGTGCGATTATCGTATCTAGTGGTTGGAGATATAGATTTTATAGATAGAATCGATCCCATAGTATGTATATCGTAATGTTTATGTTTATAATCATGATTGCAGCTCTCCGGCAATTTAGTACTTCATGACGCGATATGTTTTGTTAGGACCAATCGTTTTGAATCCCTTGCTTTTTTGTCGATTCTGAAGAGATTTATAACTACAAGTTGGTGGGATCTAGGTTTATATACAACTGAACACGAACATTGTTCTGTATTTCCTCTTGTTCTACAGTTAACGTAATTGTGGATTGAATTACATAATTTGATAGCGTCACATAACTAACAGATAATTATAGACCAACAAAAATATAGCTAAGATTCTAGAAATAAACTGTTTCTAATTAGTGAGAATTTTCATTTAATCAATCATAAGCACATATGAGCATCAGTTCAAGTTGTCAAACCATATAAGTACGACAAAATTGAATTATCAAGACAAACCGGAGAAAGAGGAGAAGTTATAGAGTCAGTGGTAGGACAAAACATTATAGATATACAATGTTTCTTGAAAAAATACCTTGACGTGGTGGTCGGGCTTGGCTATTGTGATGAACCAATCGAGCTATACTGGCAGGAACAACCGTTCCTCAAGGTCCTACCACGCCAGACAGGTCGGTTGAAGAGCGGTAAGACTAAAAGCAGCAAACTCATGTTCTGAGGGCGCAGTCGTACTTCTGACTGTACAGAGATGCGACGGCATTAAGGTGTTTCCTTCAGACAACCAGCGTAACAGCGATGCTGCTTTTCCACAAGGAGGGTGGGGTTAGAAACGGTCGACCATAAAAATGCACACCTCGTCTTATCCCACGGATATCCGTCTCCGGCGGTACGGTTCTAAAAAGTACGGGGCCAACATGAAAATTACTCACGAGAAAGTCTTATGTGACCGGCCTCAAGCAGTAGCTCCTTGGGTACTGAGGTCACGTTCTCGGGTACCTCGAGAAGAACACTTCCATAGTGTGAGCGACCGGAAAGTGATAACTGCCCTCTTAACTCTAGCAACACTCAAGATCACTATATTCATGATCAGTCTCCCTCTTCAATTCCTATTATTCCTCCTACATCGACTTTCAACATTAAACCTCCTGTTTTGGTTTCCTCCTCAAGTGTCACCATAGCCAACGATTCTAGTGCGTAAAACATTGTCCCAGGTCTACTGAAACCGCGCTCCGAACTACACATTGGAGCCTTCAACGTACGCACCCTGTGTCAAATCGCCCAGCAGGCGTCCTGGGCTAAAACCCTAGGATCTCGTACCATTGATGTATGCTGTGTCTCCGAAACACACATACAGGATCCTAGTGTGGTCATTCACTTGACGTCGACTCGTCAAAACAGAGAGTCGATGAGATGCACTCTCCGTGTATCTGGCGACCCGGTGGCTAGTTTTCGTGAACTGGCGTGTGTAGACATAGCACTAAGTACGAGGGCAGAACAAGCACTATTGGAGTGGATCCCTATTAACAGTCGTTTATGTGTTGTTAGATTAGAGAGTTCCATCAAAGTTAGAAAAATCGGTGTGAGAAACGATGTCTTTTCATCTCCGCTTACGCCCCGAAGCAATCAAGGATGAATTTTAACACTAGTTAACTGTTCTACCCCAGAAAGTGCGTTCGACAGATATTGCAGGCACTAAAGAGAATCGTTTAGGTGGCCGATGGGGACTTGTTGGTCGCAGGTCAGATAACGGGGACCGTCTACTGCAACTGTGCACAGACCACAACCTGTTTCTGGCTAGCACTAACTTTCGGCACAGTCATCGCCGATGTGCCACCTGGCGTCCTCCCTCTGCATCTCAAGCCTGGACTCAGATTGATCACATCGCGATCAGCTACCGCTGGCGTGGTTGTGTACAAGACTGCCGCTCCTTTTGGAGTACCTATCTGGACTCTGACCATGCCTTGGTCTGCGCCAATCTTACCTTACTTTTCAGTGGACAACGAAGTGACCGCCACCAACGGATTGATGTTAGCAAGCTGGTTGCAACTTCTGTTGCAAGTAAGTATCGAACCGAGCTAGCCTCTAGGCTAGCTACCACTCCACCGAAAAGTATAGATGAGCATTGGTTGCAATTGCATGACGCCATGAAAATGGCGGGAACAGTCAGTTGTGGGTTTGCGAAACGTCCCGCTTTTAAGCACTGGGTTTCTTCTGGTTCCTTACAACTCATTGAAGCCCGTCGGTCTACTCCGGGTGACCGTGAGTTTGACCATAAACGAAGGATGTTACGTAAGGAAATTGGGCAAAGCTTGCGTAAGGACCGAGAAGCCTGGTGGTCGAAGCGTGCTAATGAGCTGGAAGCAGCAGCTGCATCTGGTAACTACCGGAAGCTCTTCCAACTCATCCGAGCCACTGGCAGCAAGAAGTCTGGTGTGAGTGAAACAATCTGCGAGGATGATGGGATGCCAATCACTAACATCCATCGACGTCTTGGACGATGGGCAGAATTTTTCGAAGGGCAGTTCAACTGGCCTGCTGCTCCGGCAACATCGGTCAGACTGTCCTGCCCTCCATGGCCGGTGACGACTGATCCACCAAATGAGGAGGAAGTCCGCAAGGAACTCCAACTCTTGAAGCGTTACAAATCACCTGGCCCAGATGACTTACCTCCGGCTCTTTTTAAAGATGGTGGTGACTTTCGGTTAAATAACTGACGACGTTGTTTACAAAGGTTTGGGAACTAGAGAGTGTACCAACGTCATGGAATGAGTCGATAGTTGTCCCTATCTTTAAAAAGGGTTCACGTCGTTCTGTAACAACTATCGGGGGATAAGTCTACTTCCGATTGCGTCCAAGCTATTGGCTTCCGTCATACTTCGTAGGTTGTTCAAAACCCGAGAAAGATTGACTCGCGAGGAGCAGGCTGGGTTTCGTTCTGGTCGAGGATGTATTGATCATATCTTCACCCTCCGCCAAATGTTAGAACACCGCCATACTTATCAAAGGCCAACAATCGTAGTGTTTCTTGACATCAGGGCTGCCTTCGATTCGTTGGATAGGACTGTTCTCTGGGATTGTCTATTGAAGAAGGGTGTGCCTGAGAAGTTTATTAACATCCTAAAAGCCCTATATACAAACACCTCAGGCAGAGTGAGGGCATACAACCACCTCTCTCCATTGTTCCATTCGAGCAGTGGGGTTAGGCAGGGTTGCCCAATCTCACCATTCCTCTTCAACTTTGCCATCGATGACATTCTGGAAACAGCTCTGATGAATGTAAGTAATGGTGGTGTGGATCTGTTGCCTGGAGAAAGACTTCTCGACCTTGAGTATGCGGACGATATTGTCTTACTGTGCGATAATGCCCAAGGCATGCAATCCGCACTTAATCAGTTGGCAATCAGTGTCCGTAGGTATGGTATGTGCTTTGCACCTTCGAAGTGCAAAGTACTTCTACAAGACTGGCAGGATTCTAATCCTGTACTCACCCTGGATGGTGAGCAGATAGACGTAGTCGAGAAGTTCGTGTATCTGGGTAGCTGCATAAGTGCTGGTGGTGGTGTGAGTGATGAGATCAATGCACGTATAGTGAAAGCCAGAGCGGCTTATGCCAATCTGGGCCACCTTTGGCGCCTTCGTGATGTTAGTCTGGCTGTAAAAGGTCGGATCTACAACGCGTCGGTGAGAGCAGTTTTGCTCTATGCTTGTGAAACCTGGCCTCTCCGAGTTGAGGACGTTAGACGACTCTCTGTGTTCGATCATCGCTGTCTCCGAAGGATTGCTGACATTCAGTGGCAACACCATGTCAGTAATGCAGAGGTTCGGCATCGTGTGTTCGGGCACAGAGATGATAATCAATTGGTGTCACCATCTTGAAACACCGACTTCGGTGGCTTGGACATGTTCTACGAATGTCGTCCCAGAGAATTCCACGTCGTGCATTATTTGCCGACTCTGGGACTGGTTGGAAAAAGCGGAGAGGTGGTCAGTATATGACATGGTGTCGTGGTATGAAAGAAAGCTGCAAAGGACTGGCTTGTGTCGGTCCTTCACGACTCCCTGGTTGGGGTCCGAGAGATGGTGCTACACAGTGGCTAGAGACGTTATCAGATATGGCTCAGAATAAAAGCCAGTTGCAACCCTGCTGTAACTTTCTTTGTAAAAAGTGGTTGTATCTTCCTTAATTGAAAGATTTCTTCTGATTGTACCTTTCCGTTCCCTCATTATTACTATTATTATTATTTCATTTACTTACACCAATCTCTTCATTATTGTTCTCTGTCTTTTTTACGCTCCTTACCTTTTTTCTTTTTCCTTCTCTTTAAATTCTCATTGTTTTGTGTGGCGCATATATATTTGGCGCACTCTTGTACCAATATTTATGTGTTCAAATAAATAAATAAACATTCCACAGAATGTTTGGGATGCGTTTCCTCCTTTAAATGCAAGTTGTTGCTTCAGGACTGGCCTGTGGCAACACTTGAACTAAGGATAGGAAGTGAAGTAGTCGGACGCGTCGAAAACTGCACTTATCTTGGAAGTCTGTCCGGCCCTAACGGGTTGATATCTGACGAATTCTCGGCACGGATTCAGAATGCTCGTTTGGCTTTCGCCAACTCACATCAATGGCGAGTGCGAGTTATCCACCTATCAATTAAGGGACGAGTATATTGTGCGGCAGTTCGTTCTGTTTTACTTTACGGCTGCGAAACGGGCTATTAAGAGTAGAAGATACTCGTAAGCTACTAGTATTTGACCAAAGATGTCTTAGAAATATTGCTCGCATCTGCTGTTATCACCGGGTGAGTAATAATGAATTATACACGGGGTATTAAGGAATGATGGTAAATGCGTTGATGATGCATATATATGCCTGGTCCTACGTTTGTAGCTGGATAATATTTTAAAACAAACGTGAATACATCTGCATTCAGCACTATTATCCGACATCACAAACAACTGGTTCTGGTAACTGTCGTGGAACCCAGTTTGGTAATCTGAGTTTAACAACACGGTACAGTTCAACAGTTAACGACTTTATGAACTGAGTCCATGTTTGGGTTTTTTGACTTTCAGCTTTCTTCCGAATAACTGCTACACTAGAAAACTTTACTGAATAGTGGTAAATCTTGATGTCAGTTGAAGGTATACGACAGTGTCATAGCTTATAAGATCATTGAAGGTAGTTGGGACGAAATCCTGTATCATGGTTTCGTGCTAGTTGACACTCGTAAGGCTCACTTTTTGCAGTTTTCATTTTAGCTTTGGCTCTCTATATATATTGTATATTATATATATGCAAAAACTTATTTTGTAGCTGGAAACATTACAACGACTTCATAACTTAACTGATCCATATTTGGAAAGTCGACTCGATCTACGTATAGTTCCATTAGTTTATAAATGGGCTAATGGTTATTCATTTTCTGCAACCATATCAAAATGTGATATACCAGAAGGTTCAATAATTAAAAGTTTACTACAATTGGATGAATTAATTCGTCATATTTCTGGTGCATGTCGTCAATTTGGTAATCACATTTTAAGCCTAAAAATAGATGAAGCTAGAGACTTAATTCATCGTGATATTGTTTGTTCACCAAGTTTATATGTTTTACAAGATATAAAATTAGCTAGAGATGATTGAATTATATAATTTTGTGCTTAATTTTGCACTCAAAACTACAATTTTTTTTACTCCAACTTAAAAAGTATTTTTTCCTAAAAATACCGCTTTTCCAAATCTTGTTTTAAGCGTTTCCTGCTTCGGTTTATCACATCAAAATTACTTGTCATATGATTTACGCTTTTCTGAATGATGTATTCATTACTACATGTTATGTCTTTTGGCCCTGTCAGTTTATCATGTGGTAATATCGCCAAATAGAATACGATGTGTGTGACCTTGACTAATAACGCATCATGCTAGTACAAACAGCCTCGAGTCCTTATTAATCCTTCTCGTCTGATCCTGCCTGTTGAGTCCAGAACACCAATGTCAGATTCTGCTGTATGAATCATATATTTCAGACAGGAAAACCAGACCACATCATACCATAAAATAGAAAATAACAATTATACAAGATCAGGTCAAAACTTGGCTGTGATTGTAAGAGACTGTAACTAATAAATTGGGAATAACTTAAGAACAGTAAATTGTATAGTAGTGGTCAATAGGTCAGTCAAATGGAAACTTACAATAAAAGGAATATGAATATACACATAATGTAGTTTACTTAATGGTTATCCTAACCGTTGCCACTCATTTATTCTTCGTTTGGCTATAACACTATTCATTTACTTATTACATAATATTGATTATCTTTATATTCTGAGACGAAAGGGGTAACAGAGATGGCCAGCCAACATCGAGAGCCAACCAAAAATGTGAAAGACGAAGCACCAAACCGTTGTTCATAACTAATTTTCGATGTGTTTTTTTAAATTATGAGCAGTTGGTTAGTGACTGGATCAAACATAGAACAATGTAGTTAGTTGGCTTTAAGTATTTCATCGTATTCAATTAGTCATTTTCGTATTCAAATTTGCATGAGGCATACAAAATGATCATAATAATTTTGCTGCTCCCTTGTCATATTTGGTTACGGTTCATTGTATCTAGAACAGAATATTCATTGATCCGATATCTGCTATCAGCGACGTTTTACCTTCATTTAATTCCTCTTAGCATGCCACTTCATCAAAATTATTTTATACTTTCCAATAAAAAGGTATCTTATAAGGCATACACTGAGGCAACATACTCTACGTTTCATATGAGGATGAACACCTAAATACAACGTATAAGAGCGAAAGAATTCCCCTGTTTGGATGTAACAAACGGAAATCCAAGTGTAGAGGATATAGTACCAATTAGCAGAATAATGCAGTATTTTTTGTGCTTACTCATCGTAGTATCTATTATTCGGTTCCACTAAGTAGAATTATTTTATAGCGATTGAGTGGCTTTAACGTTTGTGAACTAAACTAAATGGGATGATACTCTCTACTTCGCCGTTTGTCCAGATTTTTCCCAAATTACAAGTCAATTTAAATTGTGTGCAAATATACAGCCATAAAACTTTACATCAACATCAGCCATTTAGAACCTTAAATGATTCCTTTAAATTTATTTAGAATGGACGTATATCTAAATTAATGAAATTTTAGTAGTGCTCTGCTACGTGGAAATAATACTTTTATGTGTAGTACTTAATAAATGAACGGGAAAATAGTCAATACCGCATACATATTGAACATTGAAAAACATTTACATAATCTTTCCCATTATTGATATACACACAATTCAAACAAAACACTACTACCTGCTTTGAAGTAGCCTGGAATAAATTGGCAAGGGAAATCATTTCTTGTGGGTTTTCTACTTCGAGAATAATTCACAGCGAAACACTAGTGTAGATAGTCTCATTATAAATAAAAATACCATATTGACAAGAACATGCTCTCAGCGATTATCTATGCTCTATATAATCCGCTAACCATTGTATTGTCATCGAAATTGCTTACAACACTGTCGAACGTCCAAGTCATGGTAACTAATGGGTGGATTGTCAATACTCATTCTAATTAATCATTTTATAAAACGACCTCAGGACAGTTAGCCTTTGTCGTCTTGCTAAAAATTGTTAACACCGATTAGAAAGGAAGAGAATTTCGGAAGAAAAGCGTCTATTGATAAACTGGAAACTAGTTTTATTAATAATAACGACTTAGAACCTTTAATGTTGATTTTTGTAAGGTGAAATTCTGTTGTATATATATATAGCTGATTAGATAGAGCAAGTTTTCAAAGTATAAACTTCCACATAATCCGCACATTAACTATATTTAAAAGTGATGTAGTTTTTTGGCAGGGGGAAAGGGAAACTCACTGAAATTTTAAACAATTTGAACATTATAAATGTCGGTCTGCAGACAACAACTAGGAGCAATAAAAGACACAGCACATGGGATGGTGATTCATCTTAAAGTTATTGATTTAATTGAAAAAAAGCGCTTTGCATTAATGCTTTTAAAAAAATGGTTTTCAGATACAATCATTAAAGAAATAAAAGTTCCAATGTGAATATGCGTGTGATAAGAACAAAAAACAATCGTGTAACTTTTAGGTTTTGTTAGAAAGTATAAACGAGCGTTTATTTCTCATGAAAGATATGTTAATTTTCCTGAAGTCTATTTCTTAAATTACTGCGAACCTTCAGCTTTTTTCATGATGGTGGTCCATTTATGTAAAATAATCGTGTTAAAGTACTAACACTACTTGTCATTTGTTTCATATTATCCGTTTCAATTTGACCTGTATTCGATCGATATTGATAGGCTACTACACGGGCAACTACTGTGAGAAGAGACATAATATCTGAATGATTCGCACCTTTCATATCGGATTCAAGTGCATTACATAGTTCTTGAATAAACCAACTGCCTGAAGAGGAGTTACGCCAAGCAAAAAAACCTAAAATATCGAAACATAAAATTTGGGTTATCTTAATTATTTTGTTGAAAATTTGATGAAAACTACTACGTTTTTTATAATTGAGTTAATATGTTTAGCTCAGAGATACTATTTGAACAGCTTTAAAAAAAAACATGATAGGCTGATGTAAATATGATAATAATTGAAGGATTGATTAAATAAAAATTTACTAGCCCAGGACTTTCCAGTTTGGGAGCGAGCACATAAGGTACATGCAAATAACTTAAGCAATCGCTTGTAAGATTTTAGGTGTACGTTGTTATGATGCGCATTCGCTTAAATGGTAAAACAACTTCATAGTATTTCATCGATCTCAAGTGATCTTTCAGTTATTTGTTGTTTGCTATCAAGTTAAACAATATATTTATGGAACCTGCATTTATTTAATCTCTTGGACTTGAAATAAAAGTTTATATTACTAGTAGGAATAAAAAACTTCCCTACTCCCAGAAACAGATGTTAAAGCGAAACAAAATATACCTCAATAATCATTTGAAGGTTAATGAATTAGAGCGACACCCAAAGAAAAAATTGCAAGTTGTCCTTAATTAAAAGTTAAACAACCTTAGGGTTTTACTACTGAGGATTGGTAATCTAGGCAGGTGAGAAGTAACCGTTGAGATAAATAAGTCCTACTGGCGATACACCTTAATTATCATTTGAAGTGATAATAATAAACAACAAATAAACTAATAATACCGTTTGCCTATAACAATATAATGGGTCATTTTAATTAACACCTAAAGGTGTTTATAAAAAAAAGTCAAGAGACGAAAATGGCTTGCTTTATTAACATAGCAAATAAATTTCTTAAAAAGTATTTAGTGAAGATAGATTATGGCTAGGAGTGGGATACAGTAGGCGCGTTTTGTCTTACATAGGACTCATTAGCTGAATGTACCTCCATCCTTGTGTTGATTTCCAAATTGTGACTCGAACACAGTAGTTCGCTACAAACCCTAACATATTATGAAATCAGTTTAATTATTCACTGGCTTGTACATACTTGTTAAGAAAGTACGTTATTCCAACAGGTTCCCAATACGTAGAAACATTAATTTGGTAATTTATATGACTTAAAGAAATCATAACGAACAAATTTATGGAGACATACCTGGTACTGTGGAGTATGCAACTAGTATATCTGCTTCTATCGGCAACTTGTGCACAATTAAATCTTCACCTGCATCTGTTACCATAGTGGAAACACCTTTATCAAATGCAGCACCTCGACAAGCCTTTGAAAAATGATATGTAAATATTTCAAAATATCAAAACATTGATTTAAAATAGCTGAAACATTTTCTCTATTCTAACACATTATTACTCGGTGTATGTGAGGAGATACGATGGTCTACCATAACGTTTCCTCTCGATTTAATAAATTCTTTCTAATAAGATATTTTACGGTAGCTTGTTAGATAAGCGCAAAACATATGCAGTAAAATTTATAAGGGTAATGGAGTTATTCGAATAACTTTTATAACAACAAATTAACACAATGATGGACGGATTTCAGGGCAAAGTCCGTATAATTAGTACTATTGCTTCGTCTGTATCGCAAGCATAGCCTTTAACTACAGAGAATTATTGTTTAGCAAAATCACCTTTTATATACATATTAAACTAAATAAAAGCGGGAAAGTTAGTTGGACGATTCGGAAGGATTAGTTCAAAAATAGGACAAATTATTCAAGCCACATGGCAACATGAACCAAAATCTATGGCAGAAACACGTTTACCACACTGTTCAATGGGTTGCAATTTTGAGCTTTACTATTTAGCCACTTATACTAACCACATCTATGAGGAACTGGAAGTATACTCTATACATTTTCTCATATATGTGATGCTATCAAGTATGTGCAGAAAACCAGTCTGTAGATGAATTTATCTTGGTCTAATGATGATGAAGAGTCGATAAACCCTTAGTGTACTAATCTTTGTATCGGGAGAATTACACTGGTTCTTGTTCCTAAGGATAAGCAGTAAGACCATGAACAATACACATAATGTCAAGTTGTTGTTAAGTTCTTTTTTCTACCCAACAGTATAGGTTTACATAATGAATATGAATTCGGGCGGAAAAAATTATTGGAAAGGCGTTAGTTCACAGTATTCTTTCTATTACCTTGGGTTATTTGATATCACGTAGAATAGAACTGTAATGATAAACTATTTAACAGTGGAATGGCAAATTTACTCAATAAAATTCAATCAACAATGAACAATATACAATATGATATTAATTACCCAACTAACAGTAGCAGTAAAAACATAGTATTTTGTTGAATGATCAAATATTAGGTTGTAAAAAAAATCAAGGGAAATAGCTTCATTATTGAATTCGATGACCGCACTAACTTTACAACTAGTGCAAGTAATGTGATGATAAGTACTAATATGCAATATAATTAACTTTTAATGTACTTTAAATTTACTTAGTTTTTATTGAATACATTCATATGACTTATTCAATAGTATATAATTTATTCTATTTAAATGATCATTTTATAAGTTTATGATGTCTAATGTATAAAATGAAGCATTGTTGACTGATGTAATGGGGTTTTGTGATTTACTAACTTGTTAATGGTAATGTGAAACATCAGCATATATATATATATATTCATTTGAGGTGTACTTAATAAATAATTTGGATTATGATGGTGTGATGCTTTGAAGCTTCGGTCAGAAATGTAAAAGGAATAAACAGAAAGTATTAAACATACTGTATATAACTATGTTGATATTCTAAACTCATCAATAAAAGATTCTGTCATGAAATTAGTTCCCTTTATGAATTTAAATAAAGCTAGAACAAATATAGATGCAGAATAATATGAATTCATTATATTTCGTGGTTTCTCATCAGCTGCTTACAGTCAAATATGTATTAGAATTTAATATGGAGGTAACAAACAGTATGAAACAATTGAAGTAATTGAAAGTAAATAATTGGAATGACGAAGGTTATCAATAATAACTATATATATGCAAGAACGGGTCAGAGGTTATTTGGTATTAGAATCAAGGAAACATTAAGGATGGGTGCTATAATAGTTGAGTAGAGTTCAGAGACAGATAATTTAAATTGTGTGGTAATTTTAGAGGTAATGAAGGATTCATGGAATTAAAAACTGATGAGATGGGTCACGTAATAATCGAATATAATTTGAAGGGTTCACATAATTTAAGAGGATCAAGTGAGCAGAAATGTGTGAATGAGAGGGTGGTTTAAGAATTCGGTAATGGGAGAGGAATATAACACAAACTAAATATTTTAAAAAATAAGTAAATAAAATAACACTAATAACCAAAAACAAAAAATAGGATTACCAGGGTAATAATAAGTTTATTACTGTCTCTTTTTGAATACATAAATCCGGTTTAAGTTTTTTACCGCGATCGCTTCAGCAAAACGGAGAGCAGCTGTAATTCTTTGTCTGCTAATAATTTTAAAAGAATGAGGAATGTCGATGATATGCCCGGTGTCAAGTAAATGCCGAGCTATTGCACTGTTGAGATCCCTAGTCCCTCGCAGCCTCAAATTCTTTGGAACAAGCTCAGAAATGCGAACATCTACCCCTCTCTCAGTTCTTCCAATGTATGTGCTTTGGCACGTACATGTGAACTGGTAAATGCAGTTGGAGCTACTGAGAAAAGAGGACTTGTCGATTTTAGTTTGTTTGAGTGAGCAGTTCGTTTCCCATACCGTCGTCAGGTTTGCTGCTGGGTAGGTCACTTTCAACGTGGAATTTATTCTATGACTAATTATTCCAGTAATCTCATCTCCTTTGAAGCGTAAGTATGAGGAGCAAGTTTTCTTTTCCACTGTATCATGCTTTAACCGAGGGTTGGTAATTGCATATTTATGGATGGATTTCGCCGGATATATATTTTCACGTAGGCAATTAGTGATTACAGCGATTTCTTCTTCCAGGCAGATTTTACGTGCGCGAAATATAATGAAATCATATTATTCTGCATCAATATTTGTTCTGGTTTTATTTAAAAGATTCTGTGTTTGTGAAGTGCAAACAAAGGAATGCAAATAACGTATTGAAATAGATGCAACAATTTAGGATAAAACACTTCGAACATTAGCACAATAAAAAAGATATAGGCTAATATGAGAAAAATCAAAAGTGGCAACAATGATACAGCAGTAAATTGATCAGTAGAAAAAGAACAGTTAGAAATCTGAATGCAAAATCATAAAATCACAGAATGATAAAGCTATTTATAACAACAGTGGATGCATTTGTGGAAATGACATTGACTCTCAATTATTTAACGAATAGTTGTAGAAGTTACTTCCTCAATTTCAAAACCGAACTATGATGACCCGTTAACTATGTATTTCTTAGATTTATTCTCTTAGCATCGCTATGAATTCACTTAGGAATATTTAGATGCTACAATACCAGTTGTGTTAAGAAAACGCGTATTGTTAGTAATTAATGAAATTCACAAGTAAGCGATGAGGAAGTATATCTGGGAGTAAGGCAGCAACGAGAAGGAAGACATGTATGAATGTGCTATAGCCCAAAGCCGCTAATCAGAAGCAGCGAATTATCGATCGGACCAAGGACGCGTAAAACACGTGCGAGCAGCCTAGAGTCCTGATTGTTCCTTCTTTCCGCCTAGTCCAGCCAGTTAAGTAAAGAACACCAGTCTCAGCCTCTGCAATATGAGTCCTTATATTTCAAACATACTGAGTTTATTTACTAATCAAACAGACCACAACGTAGCATAAAATAGGAAATAACATTTGTACAAAATTTGGCCAAATGTGGCTGTGAATGTGGGAGGTAGTAATAGTAATAATAGAGAGGGCATAATTTAAGAATGGTAAAGCGTATAATAATGGTTCATAGGTCAAAATAAAGTTTATAATAAGAGGAATATGAGAAGTTTAGTTATTTAACAACTATACGATAAAAATATACGTTTAGTATTGCTCTATAAAAGGGTCCCAAAGTTATCATTCATTGTTTATCGGGACCTAACAGAATTTGTGTGTTTTTATTGAGTGAAAATCAAGGCAGTTCCTAATACTTTTATTTTTATTAAAGATCCCAACCGGTTACATCTTAATAAACATGTGGTTCACATTATTTTTGACTTATCTGATCATTCTTCCTTTTTGACTATTTCTAAGTCGAATAATAAGCTAAGTTTTTACTTGATCTTCATAGTATGCACATTAACCTATGAAGGTGAACAACTTTATCGAATGACTTACAAATCAATTTAATTCATTAATAAAATACAAACCCGTGCATTAGGTATTGAACCTAAATTTTATTATGAATTCTAGAGTCGCTTAAGCTTACGAAGGTATAATTGAGTTAGAATTTATAAACACATAGCCAAACATATGAACCAGTGAACTGGAGCTGCATAAACAGGTTGTGGAAATAATTTAAACTGAATGGATATAGAATCTATCCGGTGAATATGAGACGACTGAATATCAAAGTCTTCGAGAAAATTCATGAAATGCTGAGGATTGTTTGTAAAGATAATTTACTGTAAAAAGTTTCCAATCGGTCCAAGGTTTTCAGAAAGGGCTGTAGAGACCAAAAGGCTAGGTGTATTGTTGAGCTTCTGTGTTGATGGAAAAATTTAACTTGTGTGGTCTCTTGTTACTCCCGATAGTCTATTTCACTATGCGAGTGACTTCTGGTGAATTGAGTTTAGAGGAAATGCCAAAGCATACGATCACGGTTAAATAGGAAACTGTGAAGCAGTTATAGGACTTGAGGTTAGAAGACCTTGTGGATTGTTTTGAGCAATGATAACGGTAAAAGGGACAAGTGCATTGCGGAAGACAGGGAACACTTTGAAGGGGATCCGATTGGTGTGCTCTACACTTCGTAAAACGAAGTTTTATGACCTCATTTTGAGTATATACTGAACAGACTATACGTGTCAAAGTATCAAATATATTGAGAGGAAAGAAGGAGCTACAAACTCAATGACAACGGAAACTCGAGGAAAGGAAACACTGCAGTTAATCATATACTTTCAATCCAACTAACCTGGAAAAAGAATAACTTCGGTTTTGCAATCAAGGAAGGACACCGATCACCACGAAAAAAAGCCATAATATAACTTGTTAGGACTTCACCATCATTTGCGTATACTATATTATTGTCTCCATGTGATAACATGACGAAAATAAAACTATCATATGATGAATGATCTGTTTGAGAGGCTGAAACGAATGAAATAAGAGAGATAACAGTACGAAGAAGGACAAGGTTGTATTTTTAACAAGTTGCGTAAAAATTTCTTCATAAAACAATTAGGGAGATTGTCAGACATATCACAAGACAATTTTGACTGAATAAAAGCAAAAAGGAAGTTGTCGAATAGGTGAGAAGATTGGCTTAGTCTAGATCATGTAGTTTCAGATTTCACGGTGAATTCCTAGCCTTCCGATGACTGAGTTGACAATCTCTAGGCGGGCAGTCGACGGTGAGTACTGCTGAGAAGTTTCATACTAGGAAGAAATAGCTGGTTGATGAACCCTAGTGATTAATGGTATCCAACTGAGACAAGTATGAATGACTCCGAAAAAAAAACTTCTCGCAAGTAAAAATCAACTATTTTACGAAAATACAAAATCTCACAGGTAGTTGTATAGTATATTTGCATGCCACACAGTTGGAGATTTTAAGACCCTAACAATGGGATAAATAATCTATGGTCCTTAATAGAATCTACAAAGTAAATTCTTTTGTTTAATACTGAAAAGGTAAATACGCAAACATATGGTCTTTGATAAATTTAAGCCAGTATAACAAATAACTGACATATAAAAGCTTTTATGAGAAGAGTTTATAAAATAGCAAACGAAATTCATGGTATATAAATTCTAAGCTATTGTTATTAAATGAAATACATTGGAAAAGAATACACTAAGAATAGAAAGTTCATTGTTTAAATTGAAATAAAAATGTGACTAGATAAACAACGGTGTATGCTTAAATTTCATACGCTGAAATAATTCCGAGAAAATAGTCACAAATATTATGATTATTATTGTTATCAATAATTCGTCAAATTTTCCTTTCATATAATAAACTATTTCTGTATATGGTATTATGTAGAAACTATTGGAAACGATTGATGCATAAACATGAATTTACCACTTGGTGTAGCATAGGATACTTTGTTAACTCTTATTATAATTACGAGTAAACTAATTTGATGTAGGAAATCGAGTGGAAATTTTCTACATAAACTTAATAAGTAAGAGAGTTTAAAGAAGTCCGTCACGCATATTTGTTAAGCAGACACCAATGTCTTGCAAGATAGTATTCAGGTGACCCTATTCAACTAGTGTAAAAGATAAATCGTTTCAACTAATATAATTGTGTCTACTGCCTTAGCTTTAGTGAAATGCTTAAACAACATATTCATTAATATTAGGAAGGGATAAAGTTTAAAATCATGTCTTAATCAACTGTGATATCTGTTTAGTGAAACATTGATTTTTATTTCAGTGTCGTGCGTTGCTCAATATTACTTGCCACCCATTACATCTTGTTTTAAATATTAATTTTTATGGTCATATCAGTTGACATTGTATTAATTCACAAAATATAAATAACTGTTTTCATTTTTCGTGCTATCGTTGTATTTCATTACATTTCCTGTAATACTATATGAGGTTACAAATCTTTCTCATTTAATTGTCTAATTAACTTAAATTACCTGACTAACAAAAATTCCAGCTGCGATTCGACATGAATGTGTTACAAACAATAGTAATTACTGAAAACGAATTATAACCTACAGTATATTTTATCATGGAACAATAAGCAACAAATATAGTTAGCATTTTTTTAGTTTTAAATGATTCGCTAAATACATCAAATAAACACTGGTTGCATGTAATCAAACTAAATAGTTTTATAATCCGAAATTTAGTCATCTGCGAAAATATTTTTGATAATGTTATTAAACTATACAAAATCAGTTGTTTGAAATACTGAAATATTTGATGGACATATTGATAAGTGATATATGTTCAGTATATGATTCAGTAAATAAATAGACTCTGGCACTATAAATACAACTACATTATACGAACCAAACATAATAGAGTGAACTTGATCATGAAGCTACGTTGATAAGTCACCTCTCTGTTAGTGAAGAAATGTGAACGTTTTTCAATAATAACACAATAAGAAAGTAGAACTCCAAAAGTGTATCCATAAAGAAGAATGTACAATGTATTTTTTTTATAAATACCGGTGTTTCAAGAAAATTTAGATTTCCTATTCCAACACATATTATTTATAGTCAACCTAATCAATTATTAATTGTATCAAAATGACTACATATTTATTTGAAAAATTAACAATGAATATAATTGAGACTAGAAACTACCAAAAAAATAAGTTAGAAAACCTCCAGGTACATTTCCTTCGAGATAGGAAGTATTAATGCTGTAAAACTAAGAGCAACAAGACATTGGAAATTAAGTGACACTCCCCAGTATTCACAAGACTAAATAACAGGCCGTTAGTGGTAACCTTAAATGATCCGTAAAATCAAAAACAAGATTTTTTAGAAACAATTTTCTTAAACCTAACGATAATTAGATAGTAATAAAGGCAAATACTGATGAAATTGGTAAGGATTTATACGGTAACGGATATATGGAAACGTGTCGCTTTCAGACTGCAACAAAATTGCCTATGCAATTGGTATAAAATAAACAATCGACCCGAACTAACTTGGAGACGAACTGTTTCAAGTTTGAATATTGAGAGAATAATATGTCCAGAAATAAAATTTCCATAAACAAAATCGACCATAAATAAATCATCCCCGATGAACATTTTAACGCTCACCTTCCAAAAGAGTCTGATGAAGTACGCTTTTTGTAATGTTGAGGATGCGCGTTACTTTATAATTTAAGCTCTTGAAAACTCTCTCAACACGATCAGCATCAACATCTGTACCATCACGTCTTGATTGATTAGTTGAAGGGTGAAAATCTCGTTGATTGATAAGAATACATTCACCACGATAAAATTTACCAGAACGATTGGGGCTAACTATTGGATAACTGAGATGTGGATTGTGCAGATCTGCCATGGACACAGATAAATAGCCATCTTTACTAGCCATTTGTCCTCGCTCTTGTTTTGGTCTGCGTTCAAAATAGAGTACATTCTTAACACTTTTACAGGTAATGAAAAAGACAGGAATACTTTCAATATTTTCTCCTGAAATGAACAACTGCACACAAACTTATAAAATTTCCTTTTATTAATTCAGCAGTTTACAGGATATTATTTATTTATTATTTATTTGAACACATAAATACTGGTACAAGGGGGCACCAGATACATATGTGCCACATAAGTCTCATTTGATTTGTGTGAGGGCTGTGATACCACCCGGGTGCCCAGACAGAAGTAGGATATAATTTAAAATAATAAAACAAAAAACATTTTGAAGCTAAACTAGTAAGTCTATGTCTGTACTTAGCATGACTCACTTAATAATACTTAGTAATTTAATTAAACTATGAAAAAATATATTGGTTTGAAAAACTTAATCTTTGATACTTTATAAAGTCATAAACAAGAGGGAATAATTACAAACCAGACGCATTAGATGATCCTTTGAAAATAATAAGCACCTTATGAGTCCGGACACTCCGAAGCACAATGGTATAAAGAATATTTTAGCATTCGGTATGGATTTACGGAGATCGTTTACATTTCATTGAAATCATGAACCAATCTAAGTTAGACCAATATTGAGAACCTGGAAGCTATCGACGGCCGTTTTGTTTCCATGCTGACAATTATTATGTACTCACTAGAGACTAGCTTCCTGAGGAAGTTTCCAGATTTCTAATGAGAGCCTGTAATACCTGTGGGGTGTGAGGTAGTCACCTACCAAAGACAATGGTAGAAACGCGAGCTCAATGTCGTGGACTGACCGAACTCAGACATTAATACTGTTAGACTTGTAAACTGTTTGGTTTCGGGTCAGTAATCTAGAGGTTGAGCGTCAGCTCGCAAGACTGAGGGTTCTGATTTCGATTCCAGGATCCGTGATCATGAATGCACACTGCTGAGGAGTCCTATAGTAGTGCAGAACGCCTGTTCAGTGCTTTCAGGTTTAAGTGGTCTAACTTAGATCGATTTATGATTTAAACGGTATTATAGTGTTTAGAATATGAAAACCTCTGAACAGTGTGGACCAATAAGCTATAAATTATTAAAAAGCAGGCAAGATCTTATGTGTTAACAGACAACAAAATGATAGCTATGAACACCAAATCAATTGGATTGGAATTTGATCTCGTTGAAGCTGAGACTAAATGTGTACTAAAAACTCTTTAATCAAATTGTAGAAAGCTTTTTTAAACATCAGTTAGATCATTATTGCTTTGGCCACATATATGAATTCTATAAACAACATTTTAAATCACAAAAATGCGCTGAGGTGGTAGTGATGTACCAAGCAAAAATTTGGCGAAGAAATATTTTCTATCGAAAATTTGTTAATCCTGAAACTTTTAGTTCAGCTTTTAATTCATACAGATGATTGCCTATACAAGATGCAAAATTTTCTTGACTAATTGAACTGTGGAAACAAAAGGTGATGTTTGAGCTAAAATATTTATCCTGGCTAAGTTCTGCTAACACAAAACGAAACCATTCGGATATTATAGTTAAAGTAAACTATACTGTTCTTTCAATTATCCCATGAATTATTATAGTTATTTTCTTGAAGTTTGGTACTAATTCTTCAAATTAAATTGACGCGTCTGACAGGTACCTGGATGTGTCCCCGAAGAGTGCGGAGAGTTGGTTCTCCCTCTTGAAATGTTAATATATATACGAGTTAAGGGGTTTCAAGAAATTAAAATTACCACCCGCGAAAATACCTGCCAATCTTTATGCAACTAATATATGTATGACTGTGAAGAGTAAAGAGAAATGTAGAGACAAGTGTCCGAGATACTAAAGAATACCTGAATAAAAGGATACAAAAAGTGCAGTTTACTTAACATTTATTTAAGGATTTATTTGGCCAACTTGACAGTAGAGATTAACAAAACGACACATCAGAAAGCGATTTATAAAAAGTAACTGCGAAGCGTTCGTAAGTACAATCTTTTATTGTTAACTAATATAACATTAAATATAAATCCAGTTACTAGGATTTGTAGTGAGACTATAATTTATGGGCAACCTTTGAGTGGTGATAAATCGACCTCGATTGAACTTATTACTAGGGTCGAAAAAGGGTTATGGATTAGTATAAAGAACTAAGATTGGAGGTTAGATGTTAGGGTTTTTCTCACAAATTGACATCAACTATTACATCAGATTGCTATTTAGCCACTTTCCATCATTGATTCATTCATAAATTATAGTCTCCCCACTAACAAAATTCACAATAACGGGTGTGAGAACTAGATCCACCCCTGACCAAACTGGTCACACGATATTAAGAAGCGCTTCTTCAGATTCCTCATACTTTGAATTCATAGTAAACGTATTTCAAGAAAACATTGATTCCTACAGTACCACAACAGAAGGATAGGTCGATGGCGACGGTCCTAAAAAAGTTAAAATATTCTGAAGCAGTCTAAAGCAATGGTTGTACTGAAACATTGTAAAACAATAAGATAGCCGTTTGTTCCAAAAAACCAATCGACAAATGCGAGAAATGTAAGTAACTGTAGACAAACACTTGTCGAAGAGTAACAAACACTCATTGCCTTTAAAAACTATTAAATGGTTGGCAATAGTATTTAAAGTGGAAAAACGTGACTCACATTGTTGTCATCAAACGAACTCCGTCAACAATCTCACCCATCGTAACACAAAATTCAATTATGTGAAATATTGCTCAACATCAATTATTTTCAATATATATTGCACTTAATAAATTGAGAACAGAAATTCAACAGCGTGTATAAGTCCGTTTTTTCAGGTTTTTGTGACCCCATTTCTTCCGGCTATATGTCCGGAAAATAAATTATTTAGTAGGAATCAGAATGCCACGAGTTCCGGGATTTTCATGCTGTATTCTCTCGTTCCAGACTATTTGTTACAAAGTAAAAGATGAAGTCAATGTAACTTGAGATCATTCTAAACACTCCATGTTCAGAATTCGGACGACCTCTCACTTTAGTGCAAGAAATAATGAGGAGATATAACTTCTTGAGTCAAATTTCTTGGGAAATTTCGGGGAAATCCCCAAAGTCTGTGTTGTGCAGTTTCCCGGATAAACGTTTCATTATCACTGCATTTTTAAACCTTTGAAGATGAAATTACAATTAACAAATGTTATTTTTATTGTTATCATGAACTTTGGTCATCAGTACGTCAAACAGACACAAGACAATGATTCGTCTGCTTAAAACCATCTTGTGTACTGTCCAAAATTTCGATCCATGCTTTTTTTCAGTTTGACTACAGTTAATTGTTTCTCTTAGACTAATATTTAAGAGCTTAATGAAAGTGCTAAAAGATGGGCTAAAGCCAATAGAGAATTAATGTTGATGTGTTGTCTCAAATCAACTTTTTACAGAAGGTTGAGGAAGTTGAGAGACGAGTTTGATAAAAAGAATCAGTTAGTAGCCACTGATGGCCGTAGCCTCAGAGCAATGTATCAGTATTGTCCCACAATCGGCCGCTACCTCATATAGTTATGTCCAGTGTACAGCCAGTACAGTCGGCGGCCTAGTCAAGGATTCTTTATTAACAAATTATAGATAATGCAAATTCCGAAATCTCTCCACCTGTTCATCTACTAATCAAACAACAGCTAGACAGTTGTAGTTGAAATGATGAAAGGTGACAATAATGTAAAGAAAGCAAACGGAATTCTGAACCATTTCCAGGCGTACATTCCAGAATTCCCATAGTAAGAAGCGTACTACGTCGCTGCTATAACGTGGAAACGAAGTTTCAGAAAACAGGAGTCTACTATCATGTCGGATTGAAAATAAGCTTTCTGAGGGTTTTAGAAGTTTGGCTACGCAAAATTATTTTCACCGAAATGAATCTCCAACGTAACTACGACGACCGAATATTAGCATTCCGGTCGTTCCAGTTCTCAAACGAACGGTAATCACGGGTGACAAACATCGGAATGCCTGAAAAGCGCGACAAGGAGGCCAAGGAAAGCCTAGTGTTGGGCCAAGAAGACAATCAGATGCACCTTCAGATGTACGACAAGTCATTTTAGATACACTTCCATGTCATGGCCTTAATGTTAGTTTAGTAAGTGGAAATTAGCTCTAGGATCACTTTACCAGAGTTAAAAGAAAAACGGGTGGGAGGAAGGCAATTATTTGAACTTAAAGACTGGAATATAGAAGGAGGAAATAACTACTGTGCCTTCAGGGAGAATTCAGGTATTTTAGGTGTAGTTGTAAATAAATCCCCAAAATAAATAGCTCTGTAAGTCTTCGACATTGAATGCTGACCACATTAGTTTCAATGGACTCACCTAGCCGAGGGCGCTCGGCCATGCATCCGCACCAGGTCACGAGTGGGGACGCCGTGCTCAACATCCCCTACAATCTTTAGCCAGTCTCGATCAGTTGATCCTCGAGATAGTGATAGCCTATCAAATGTATCTTTGAAACTCCTCGCTTCTGACCTTTGATTTCACTCGGCGGTTACGATTGACATTAGGTGTTACTGATTAAAGCGTTGTCAAACTCCAAATACCTAATGTATCTTCAGACGCTAATAGAGGACATGTGTAGTAAAGTATCTTCTGCCTCCGACTGTAATGACAAAGAACACAAGTCTGTTCGCCGTTTGGTAGTCCGTTCTCATCACGGTCTTGGAAATAAACCTCCAGAAAATTCAAAACCGTTCGACTACTCAAAAACGCTGGACATTTATCAGACAGTTCTAGTTGTATCTTGTGTTCAAGGTCGAGTATGATGGTCAACTGCTATTATTCATGTTGCATTATTGTAAAGGAAGGGCTCGAGAGGCCATAGAGGAATGCATCATGCTTCCACCGTCGTCGAGTTGCTGTAGAGCATGCAATATACTAAAACGGTTGTTTGATAGAACACACGAAGTAAGCCGGGCTTTGCTGAAAGATTTGACTGAATGTTCCATTATAGAGCACAACGATGGTGAAAGTCTATCTAGTTTAACAATAAAAATAAAACGTTGCTCTATAGCATCAGAAAAAATCGATTACTCGGCGGAACTCAACTCTCTTGGAACTATAGAAAGCATAGTATGGAAGTTGCCCACGGATTACAGATGAAATGGGCTGAAACGGTCGGAAAGGTAACAGGAAATGGGAGAGAGCCTATATTTCTACGTTAACAGGATTTTTATCATGTATAGTAGAAATATCACTCGGCAGATTCGGACAGATTGCAACAACTAGTAAACAAGCTGAGAGCAACGTGGCCTGTTCCACACAAGGGTTGTCATTCGGTAAAATCGTGAGCAAGTCACTTAGTGTTATATGCGGAGAAAGTCATATGATTGACAAATGTTATCAGTTCTTTACTTTGGCAGTCAACAATCGGTGGGCAAAAGTCAGAGAAAGTGGTCTGTATTTCTGTTGTCTTAGAAGAAGCCACAGATCAGTTGACTGTAAAGATTGTGTTGTGTGTGCTATTGAGGGTTGCCAGGATCGACATCGCTGTTTGTTGCATTAAACCATTAGAGTTTAGGATGCTTTGAATCTACGATTAATAACAATGCATTGTGGGTACACGTAATCGCCAATGGAGGATGTGTCTGTTGGTTTAATCCCTGTAAGTCTTAGAGCTGGGAATACGAAAGTTCGTGGATATGCCTTCCTAGACAATGGCTCAGATATTACCCTAAACAAGTCAGGCACTGCACGGATTTTAAGATCGTAGTCAGAGGGTGAGTCGATTTCCATGAAAACGGTAGGCGGAAATAGGTTTGTCAGATCGACAACCAAAGCCTTAGTAACCTGCTCATTAAACAGAAACGAATGTATATGTAATGAACTGCTGTTGTAGTAGATGATTTGCCGGTGCACAGACCAACAGAACCTGCGAAGGACAGCTCTAGAAAATGGTCCCATCTTATGGATTTACCTTGACCAGAGTTAGTGGGTGTCGAAGTTATGTTGCCTATTGGTTGTGACGTGCGTGAAGCGCATTGGGCCCTGGATAAAAGATTAGGTGAAAGAGTCCTTACGCTGTTAGAATACTGAGTTCTTTCTGGACCAGCAGGTCTCAACGAACATGAGGAAAGAATTGTAAATTATATCCCTCAAACTGATGACTTTGTGGAGCGATTAAAGAACATGCATAAATATGGGTTTTACCGGCAACAATAGTAGAGCACGACATCTATTTTGATGAAAGTTACAGGACTGTTCCCTTACCTAGAGATATAACTGGAGAAGACGTTGCTGCCTCTGTTATCGACAGTGGGTCTGCTGTGTGTACAGTCGGCTCCTAGAGCAGTATTCCCCTCTATTATTGGAAGACCCAGACATCAAGAAGTGATGGTGGGAATGGGTCAAAAAGAAAACTGTGTGGAAGACGAAGCTCAATCGAAACATGGTATCTTGACACTGAAGTATCGGACTGAACATGATGGTGTGATTAGGTGTGGTGATTTGGAGAAGATGCAGTACCACAGATTCTCCAACGAGGTGCAGGTGACTCCAGAGGAACATCCAGTGTTGTTGACATAAGCTTCATTAGACCCGAAAGCAAACCCTGCGATGACACAGATCATGTTTGGGACGTTTAATACTCCAGCTATACGTGTTTTTATTCAAGCGGTGTTGCCACTGTATGCATCTCTGTGCAACTGGTATAGTGATGGATTCAGGTGTTGGTGTGACCTACACAGTCCTAATTTATGAAGGTTATGCATTGCCCTATGCCGTTTTGCTTCTGGAGCTCGATGGTAGAAATCATACTGACCTCAAGATGAGAATATTGACTGATACAGCCCATAGTTTCTTAGTCTACGCGTGAAACATACTCAGGCACGAACCTCGGGACAACGTTTTGCTTGATAGTAAGTTACCAGCCTTGGTGCGGAAGCGAACATATAGAGAAACTGAGAGAGCTTTGATTTCTGGGGGGGGGAGCGAATAATTGCAGACTGTAGATTAGGTTTATGGATGTACGAATGTACTGTTATAAGTCCTGTACTTTCCATTGATTTGGAGGAGTTAGTAAGTAGAGCCAATGACAGGAATGTATTTAAAGGTACATTTGCATGGCTGGATGGATTATGGGGGCGGTATAACGGAAAGAGAACGCAGAAAATCTCTCCAGAGCATTTTTGTTGGACGGTAAATTCAACGATTTGTTTCATCTTCCCGTCGTGTAATTTAACCTTTATTCAGATCACTTTTAACCATAATTTGTATTCTTCAGCCTTCCTCGCCTAAGCTTTTATCATGTGATTTTGATTAAGGATTTATCCTTCGCTACCTAATTTCTGTTTCATGTTGCCGGAATATTGACAGTAAGGTAGTGTTTGACTAAGCCCAAGATCACGGCGTGGTTCGGTGTGTGACTTTTAACCTTTGACTGTCTGCTTGGGAAGGTTACTGGAATCCCTGCAGATAGATATGTGATCTTGTTACGAATATTTTTATTGATCCTCAGATATTGAACTCTTTTGTATTAACTATTTTCTTTGTTGTTTAGCACGCCAATTTGTGTTAAAGAAACCCTTGATTGTATAGCACAGGTTGCACCGTCTGAGGTATTATGTATTTTTCATATAATTTGTTCTATTTCTTAAATTAAAACAGTTTAATTTGTGCACAGAGTTTGTGTTTTGATATAATTTAATATGAGTAACTGAAAAACGCTTCGTACGCCATACAGAAAAATGTAGTCGGGTCTAATCGAATGAATTTTGTTTCGGTTGTTCCGCGTTCAAACTGAATATTGGCATTTCGGTCGTTATATCAAGGTAAATTTTTTCGATAC